CTTGCAACAAAATGCTTGTGATGCAATAGGGTCTACTTTTCGCGATAAAAAATATTTGTTGCTAAAAATTCGAATTGTGATTTTCGCAACATACAAAAAGTTGTTGCAATAAGTGACTTCACGCGGCACATTTTTTTAGTTTGTCGCGAAGTTTGTGATGAGAAAAATAAGTACCAAAAAACCTTTGGCGACATAAAAAGTTGTCGTGAAATGTGAGAAGTTGCGACAAATAATAAAGAACGTCGCCAAAGCCAAATTATTTTTGGTGGGAAACTTATGGCGACAAACCTTTATTTCTTGCAACAAAATGCTTGTGATGCAGTAAGGTCAACTTTTCGCGATAAAAAATATTTGTTGCAAAAAATTATAATTGTGATTTCTCGACAAGATTTTTCGCAACATACAAAAAGTTGTTGCAATAAGTGACTTAACGCGACACATTTTTTTAGTTTGTCGCGAAATTTGCGATGAGAAAAATAAGTACCAAAAAACGTTTGGTGACATTAAAAATTGTCGTGAAATGTGAGAAGTTGCGACAAATAATAAATAATGTAGCCAAAAATATGAGGGATAAGTGATGTAATATGATGTAATAGGGTCTACTTTTCGCGATAAAAAATATTTGTGGCTAAAAAAATGTAATTGTGATTTCGCGCTAAGATTTTTCACGACATACAGAAAGTTGTTGCAATAAGTGACTTAATGCGACACATTTTTTTAGTTTGTCGCGAAATTTGTGATGAGAAAAAGAAGTATCAAAAAACGTTTGGCGACAAAAAAAATTGTCGTGAAATGTGAGAAGTTGCGACAAATAATAAAGAATGTCGCCAAAAATATGAGGGAAGCAAGGCGTCAAAATTTTTTTGGTGGGAAACTTAGGGCGACAAGCCTTCATTTCTTGCAACAAAATGCTTGTGATGCAATAGGGTCTACTTTTCGCGATAAAAAATATTTGTTGCTAAAAATTCGAATTGTGATTTTCGCAACATACAAAAAGTTGTTGCAATAAGTGACTTAACGCGGCACATTTTTGTAGTTTGTCGCGAAGTTTGTGATGAGAAAAATAATTACCAAAAATCCTTTGGCGACATAAAAAGTTGTCGTGAAATGTGAGAAGTTGCGACAAATAATAAAGAACGTCGCCAAAGCCAAATTATTTTTGGTGGGAAACTTATGGCGACAAACCTTTATTTCTTGCAACAAATTGCTTGTGATGCAATAGGGTCTGCTTTTCGCGATAAAAAAATATTTGTTGCTAAAAATTCGAATTGTGATTTCGCGATAAGATTTTTCGCAACATACAAAAAGTTGTTGCAATAAGTGACTTAATGCTACACATATTTTTAGTTTGTCGCGAAGTTTGTGATGAGAAAAAGAATTACCAAAAAACCCTTGGCGACATACGAAGTTGTCGTGAAATGTGAGAAGTTGCTACAAATAATAAAGAATGTCGCCAAAGCCAAAATATTTTTGGTGGGAA